TAAGGTGCTCTTGATATTTTCAATTACTTGCTATGTGCCTGTGATGTGAACAATGACTTAGGATTACTGAAGAAGAATCGATGTCTTTGAGTTATGGGTGCTGGAGAAAAGTATTAACATACCATGGAATGCCAAGAGAACAACCAGGTCTGTGCTTTATTGTGCATAGTTATCAAAGGCCTGTTATTTCGAGAGTGGATGGCCAATCCTCCTCCCTAGTCTACCTTAATTTAGATGCTCAGCTTTAGAGCCATATCTGGCAGACAAGCATTTTACCCAGAAGAGCAGATGAAAGTAATTTCCCATTACAAAAGTTACCACTTCAGTGTTGTTCCCGTCCTCCCCCATTTGGCCCCTGTGATTTAGTTCTGTCTTCCTATGCTGCTCCATCAACATCCACTTCTTCCTCTCCTCCTTCTCACCACTACCTTGCCTGGCTAGCACTTCCCTCCCCTTGCTCCACCCCAGCCAATCTTAGGTATGGTGCCTCAGGTCTCCAGTCACTTCTGTGATGCTGGTCTCTTCCAGCTGCTGCTCTACTCTCTCACCTTGTTGATACCCATCTACCACTACCACTCCCCTATCTCACTACATCTCTGCCTGGCTGCTGTTGCCAATCTCCTCTCTCATCGCTGGCTGGCTGCCACTGATCTATACAGTTAAATGCCTTTGCATAGTCAATACAGCACAAATAGACATTCTTCTGGTATTCTTTGCATTGAGTCAGGATCCATTTGCTATTAGCAATGATAAATCCCTGGTGTGACACACTTTTCTAGGTCCAGCTTGAACATCTGACAGTTCTCTGTCCATGTACTGTTCTAGTCATTTTTTCAGCCTTGCCACTGGTATGTCAAATGCTATAATGGTTACTCAGGGTGAACAGTGTTTGGTGGAGCTTGCAGATTAAGACAGGCTTGGAAGCTGGATTGGCATCCAATTCCTAAACATGTCTTTGGAAACTCTACGAACATTAGAGAAAGATAGTTATATAACATGGTTCAGATCTTTTGTTCATAGGGTCACCATGAGTTGTGCTCCACTTAACAACAGCAACATACTGTAATGATATTGTTTGATACTTTTCACAGTCTGTTGTATTTTTTCTCTTTGAGTGGGAACAAATATGGATCTTTTCCATATTTGGATAGTTGGACAGGCAGTTGTCCTTCAAATTTTCTGGCTGAAACTGGTGAGCATATGCAGGGCTGCATTTGTTATTGGAAACATGTCAACTGGTATCTCATCACTTTGTGAAGCTGTATTTCTGGCCAGTGCCTTAATTTGAGTTTAAACGTCTTCCTTCATTACTGTTGACTCTTGATTATATGGTACTTCCTGAAATAGTTCAGTGTTGGTAAATTATTTTTGAAATAGTGATTCTGTATCAAAGGATTCTGTATCTGGTGGCATTTCTTTTGATGTTTCCTGTATCATTTAAGATCTTGCTCATAGCAACTTTCAGTATTACAACTCGAGGCTTGAGATTGTTTTTCAGTTCTTTCCGCTTGAGAAATGCTGAATGAGTGCTCCTCCTTTTATTCTCCAATTCTAGGTCTCTCTACATTCCATTAAAGTACTTTTGTCTTTTCAAGCTGTCTTTTGAAGGCTTCTGTTCCGCTCTTTTTATTTCAACATTTCTTCTCTTTGTTTTGGCTTATCAAAGCTCTAGTGTGATTTTCAGGTCTCTTCTAACATCCGTTCTTGTTTATTCCTTTGTCTCGTTCCTTGTATTGACCTATTACTCTCTTCCCACAACTCCTCTGGTCTTCGATCACTGGTGTTCAATGTTTCAAGCCTATTCTTAAGATGAGTTTCAGATTCAAGCAGGATAAACTCAAGATGATATTTTGGTTGTCATTGACTTGTTTTAATTTTCTTCAGTTTCAGATTGAACTTGCACATGAGAAATCGAAAGTCTGGCCCTTAGTCAGCATCTGATCTGGTTTTGACTCTATGAAGAAGACGATCATGTCAAGATTGGAGGAAGATTTATCAATAACTTTTGTTATGAAGGTGCCACACCTTGCTTGCTAAAAGTGAGGAGGACTTGAAACATATGCTGAAGAAGCTTAAACATTGCAGCCTTCATTATGAACTGAATCTCAAAGTCAAGAAAATAAAAATCCTCACCACTACATCAACAGGCAACATCCTGATAGATGGGTGCAAAAATGGAAACTGTCAATGACTTTATCTTACTTTTATCCACAATTGATACACTTCGTACCAGCACTTAGGAGACCAGGAAACATATTGCAGTGGGAAAGTCTGCATTCAGGGACCTTTCCAAATTATTGATGAGTTATGATGTCAGTTTGAGGACTAAGGTGCACCTGATTCAGGCAATGGTCTTTTCATTCACTTGCTATGCATCTGAGAGTGGGTCAGTGACTAAAGATGACAGAAGAAGAGTTGACACCTTTGAGATGTGGTGCTAGAGAAAAGTGCTGAAGGTCACATGGACTACCAAAAGAACCTTCTTAGAGAAGGCAGAACAAGAGTGCTCCTTGGAGGCAAAGATAACAAAGATTGGTCTCAAATACTGGAGTATGTTGTTAGGAAAGAAAGATTATTCCTTGGAGAGGGGCATCATCTTGGAAAGGTGAAGGGTGGTAAAGGAGAGGAAGACCTCTAACCAGGTGGATTGACATTGTGACTGCAGCAATGAACTTGAGTGTGTCCAAGATTGTGAAGATGCTACAAGATAGGACAAAGTTCATATCTTTTGTTCATAATAAGGTGGCTATGGATCACAACAAGCTGTGGCTGTTTCTGAGAAGAATGGGAATCCCAGAACATTTGATTGTGCTAATGCGAAACCTATACTTGGACCAAGAGGTAGTCATCAGGACAGAGTAAGGAGACACTACATGGTTCAAAATCAAGAAGCAGGTCTGTCAGGGATGTACTTTGTCTCCATACCTTCTCAATCTGTTTGCAGAACAGATCATCTGAGACCCTGGGCTGTATGAGGAGGAATGTGGCATCAGCATTGGTGGAAGAATCATCAACAATCTGCGTTATGCAGATGACACAACCCTGCTTGCTGAAACTGAGGAGGACCTGAAGCACTTTGTGCAGAAGGTCAAGGACTGCAGCCTCCTATATAGATTGAAGCTCAACATCAAGAAAACAAAGATTCTCACCACTGGGACAACTGGCAGTATCAGTATGGATGGTGAAGAAATTGAGATAGTTAACAGTTTTAATTTACTTGGCTGCATAGTCAACACTCTTGGTAACAGCAGCCAGGAAATCAAGAGACGAATTGCTTTGGGAAAGTCAGCTGTGAGGTACCTCTCAAGAGTACTGAAGAGCAACGACATCAAGCTGGAGACTAAGGTGCACCTGGTCTGGGCTATAGTCTTCACAATTACATGTTACGCATCAGAGAGTTGGACAGTGAATAGGGATGATAGAAAGAGCCTTTGAGCTGTGGTGCTGGAGAAGAGTGTTGAATATACCATGGACTGCTAGGAGAACAAACAGGTTTGTCCTGGAGAAGGTGAAGCCAGAATGCTCCTTGGAGTCAAGGATTCTGAAGCTTCATCTGACATACTTTGGGCATGTTGCAAGGAGGGACTGGTCCTTGGAGAGGGACATCATGTTTGGCAGAGTTGAGGGGCGGCGCAGGAGAGAAAGACCTTTGATGAGATGGATCAATTCTGTGACTGGAGTGGTGGGAATGAGTGAGTTTGAGATGGCTAAGTTGGCACAGGATAGAATGGCGTTTAGAGCTTTTGTATATAAGGTCGCCATGAGTCGCAAGCGACTCAATGACACATAACAACAACAACATGTATAGGCTATACTCAATTCAATGGCAGCTAACAACAATAACAACAGTTTAGTTCTAGTCTTTTCTATCTTTTTTTTTTTTTTCATGAGTGTACCGTCAAATCAGATCTGACTGGTACAGGAGGAGATTGTCCCTCCTTTTCCCGGCAGAGCATCTGGTGGATTCGAATCGTGTGCCTCTGGAATTGTAGTTGCAGCTCCTTGCCACTAAGCCACCTGAGCTCCCCTTCTTTTCTGTCTTTTTAAATGTGGTTGTATTATAATGCAGTTAGATTTATTGTTTACTGTTTGTATTTTATTTCATATGTACTCCTGTTACTTTAATTTTCTATTTACCTATTTATCTACTTAATAGTACCATGTTTTAGAGAAATATCTACTAATTAAAGCCTTGCATTCTCTTACTACACTACTTCTTTCTTCTATCAACAAAAATATCAGCTTTCTATATATATAAAACCTAATTTCCGGCTAAACTTTCAGTATTTATATTGCATAAATGACTATATAGACATCTATTTTCTAACATCTTCTTTACATTGTTAATGCTCTTTTGTAGTCAATTTCTTTCACTCAACAATATATCCTAGAAATCTCAATTTCTATAAGTTTTGTTCTTTCAAGATAATCTTAAAAATATTAAATAATTTACATACATTCACACAGCTCTGGTGGCCTAGCGGCAAGAAGCAGTACTGTCATCGCAAAGGCCCGATGATCGAGGTCACCAGCTGCACCATGGGAGAAGGATGAGCAAAGTACTCCTATCCCATTAACATACCCACTGGAGGGTCAGCTATGGGTCAGGTCCCACTCTACGCTACACGACAAATCAAAACAATGTTAAGTCTGGTACTAACAAGTTGATTCCGACTCATAACAACCTTTTAGGACAGAGTAGAAGTACCTCCTAAGGTTTTCAGAGCTGTAATCTTCATGGAAAGAGAATCTAATATGATGTTGTTGAGTACTGCTGAGTCAGACCCGACCAATAGCTGACCCTCCAGCAGATTTTCAGAGGCAGTAGATCACACAGGATAAAACTGTCCATCTCTCTCCTGCAGAGCAGCTGATGGATTCAAACCATGGACTTTTGGATTATGCCACGAGGGTTTCTGAAAACCACATAACTTCCCAGAGTGGCCATCCTCAATGCAGCCAACTTAGGAAAGTTGTAGGGGACTATAGTGAGTCGTTACCTGGCAGCAGCCTTAGCTTGTAGTTCAGGGAAAGCAGCGTGGCCTTGTACCACATGGTCTATCTGAAAAACAAGAGAGGTGAGTCAGCTTCCCCCCCACCCCTTTTCGGAGACGGGAGCGAACTGGTGAGGAGGGGTGGGCAGGGAGAAAAGTGAGTCAGCTTTTTAAAAAGTTCTTAGACCTGTAGTTAAGTCATAAAGAAACACATAGGTATTAAAAAGTCAGTGTCTTTCCAACTATGTACATAAGGAGCTCTGGTGGTATAGTTGTTAAGTACTTGCCTGTAGAAAGAAAGGCTGACAGATTAAAAGCACCAATCACTCTGAGGGAAAAAAATGTGACAGTCTATTTCGATAAAAATCCCAACCTCCAAGACCCACAGGTTAATTCTACTCTGTCACATAGGGTCTGTCTGAGTCAGAAAATACTCAACAGGAGATCTGAGGATGTTCAAGTGTTAACTCAGCAATAGTGTCTCAGCTCTGCTGTTGTTGTTATTACTCTGTGCTGTCAAGTTGTGTGCGACTCATAGTGGCCCCATGCACAACAGCTCTGAGTCCTGCTCTATGCTGAGCTAAGACCATAGCAGCAGATGGTAGCAAGTTGAAGAATAGGATAAGTGAAGTAAAAGAGAGGAGTTATGAAAAATCAGGCTAACAAAATTTAAAAGAGCATTATGCTAAGAGAACTAAGTCCATCTCATAAAGACAAATACTGTATACGACCACTATTGTAGAACAAGTACCAGGATCCAAGGAGAAGGGGGGTGCTTAATTAATCATAGGGTCACATAATTTGATGGGTGGAGGAAGGGATGGATAAAGGAAAAAGTAAAGACCCTGTATGAAACACAATGTATACAAACTTCCTTTTAAAAACAAGATTTTTTTGAAAAAGAAAATGTCTACTGTAATGCCAACAACAGTAGAAATAATATTATCTAAAATTTATTGACTCTTTATTTACCATACTTAGAATACTATTACTGTTGTTATACTGATACAATGGACTCAACTCATAGTTAATCATTTAGCAGGTGTTTAGATGTGACCCAGAGCAGAAGTTCCCCCACGTCAGAAGTGGCCTCACTGGGGATCCAGAGGCCTGGGGCCAAAGTCTGAAGGCAACAATTAGGGTAGTTGCAGCCCTGACTAGAGTCCAGAGATCCTGGGCAGAGAGGTCTGCTTGCAAGGCAAGAGAGTCCCATCCCTGTGCTTTCAGGCACCGCTGGTGTTAAGTACCAGTTCAAAATATTCAGCTGAGCCACTGTCTATGCCAATTCCCCCATCCAGGATCCCATCCGCTGTGCTACCAAGCATCTCAGCTGGGGTCTGAAAAGGGTGCTTTGGAGGATGATACTTGTATGCCTTACTGTCTTTACAGTTTGCTATTAGAGGTAGAACACCGATGAACACTGTCAGTTCATCTACTGGGAACTGTTTTAAGGTTGTTAATTATTTTCTATCTTAGGTGTGTATAGGCTGGTGTGTTTATTATTTGCTTATGTTAGTATAGCATTTGTCTGTCAGTCTGTTGTACTGGTGTAGCTTGTGGGATGTTGTAGTGCTCGAGGCTTGTGCCACTGGTGCTTCAAGTACCAGAAGGGGCATCCATGGTGTACAGGTTGTAAAAGAGCTCCTAGATTAAGAGAGAGTAGGAGGAAGGACTGGTCATTCTCTTCCAAAACAATGGGCCTTTTAAGATCCCATAAACAACAGAGGAATGCAAGTAGTTGTAGTATTATAGGTAGAGCCCAGATAGAAAGTCACTAAAATAGGAGGAGAAACATTGGCAAGTAACCATTAACTTGGAATGTACAAGTATGAATAGGTAAATGGAAGTTATAAAAAATGAATGAAATGTGTGAAGACTGACATTCTAGACCTCATTGAATTGAGATGGATTAGCATGAGTTACTTTGAATCGGACAATCATATCATCTACTGTGCTGAGAATGAAAAACTGAAGAAGAAGAGTTTTGCATTCATAGTTAAAAACACAATTTAAAGATCAGTCCTGAAGTACAATGCTGTGTGTGATAGGATGCTATCCATATACAAACAAGGAAGATCTCTTAAAATAACTGTTACTCAAATATATGCACAAACAACTAAAGCCAAAAAGGAAGAGAATGAGTATTTCCACCAAATTTTGCAGTCCAAAGTGGACCAAACACGTAATTAACATGCATTAATTATATAATTATTATTGACTATATAATTATCGGTGACTGGAAGACAAAAGTTGGAAACAATAAGGAAGGAATGGTAGTAGGAAAGTATGTTATTAGTGACAGAAATGAGGCTGGAGAGAAAAGTACTGAATTTTGTTCACTCAGTGATTAATTCATGTTGTTGTTGTTGGAAGCTGTCAAGTACAACCCATAGTGACCCTATTAAAAACATATCTGAGCCCTATCATATATTGTGCCATCTTCATACTTCCTGACATACTAGAGCTCATTGCAGCAGTCACTGTGTCAATCCACTAGGGTGAAGGTCTTCTTCTCCTTTGCTAATTCCCTGCCTTTCCAAGAATGATGTTCCTCTCCAAGGAATAACCTCTCCTAGTAACAAGCTCAAAGTGTGTGAAGCAAAACTTCATCATCTTTGCATCCAAGGAACACTCTGGCTACACTTTCTCCAAAATATATTTGTTTGTTCTTTTGGCAGTCCATGGTAAGTTCCATATTCTCCAACACCACAGCTCAAAGGTGTCAATTCTTCTGTCATCCTTATTCATTGTCCAGCTCACAGATGCATAGCAAGTGATCAGAAAGACCATGAATCAGATATAACTTAGACCTCAAACTGACATTATTGCTCCTCAATAATTTGTAGTGGTCCCTGAATGTAGTCTTTCTCAGTACAAGATGTCTCCTGATTTTACGACTGCTGGTACCAAGGCTGTTGACTGCAGATCCAAGTAAGATAAGGTTGTTGACAGTTTAAATCTTTTCTCCACCTAGCAGACATTGCCTACCAGTCCAATGGTAAGAATAAATAAAAAATTCTTACAACTGAATTTATTCATAATAAATACCTTTTTTTAAAAAAAACACACAACACAAAAGATGACTTTAGACATAGATTTCACCTTATGGATGATACAGAAATCAGATTGGCTAGCTCAGCAGCAGGTTTGAGGGAGTGAATACCAATGAATGGAATTAAAGATCAGAGGAAATGTGGAAAGGAATCAAAGATATCATACATGAAGATAGCAAAAGGTCATTGTAAAGAAAGAAGAGGGAAAAAATATGACCAAAATTGATACCAGAAGAGACTATAAAAATTGCATTAGAGTGTCGAGAAGTCAAAACAAAAGGAAGAGATGCTGAGTGAAGGAGTTGAATGCAAGATTTCAAAGGGCAACTTGAGAAGACAAAGCAAAATATTATAATATGTAGAAAACTAGAATTGGAAAATAAAAATGCAAGAACATTCACTTGTCATTTTTCAGGTTGAAAGAATAGAAAAATAAATTTAAGCCTTCAGTTTCAACACTGAGAGATGTTATGGGAAAAATCAAGAGTGATCCAGGAAGCATAAAAAAAATAAAGAGATGGCATGAATACACAGAATTACTGTACCAACAAGAATTAGTTGACACTGAAAACTTTTAGGAAGCATCATATTAATAAGAGCCAGAGGTAATGAAGGAAGAAGTTCAACCAGCTCTGAAGGCACTGGCAAAAGTAAGTCCTCAGAAATCAAGAGAAGACCAGTTGACATGCTTCAGCTAACATATGTAGGATCTGCTCACTAGTCTATGCCAGGAAATTTGGAGGACAGCTGCATGGCTGACTGACTGGGAGAGATCCATATTTGTCCCCATTCCTGAAAGGTTATCCAACAGAATATAGAAATTTAGAACAATATCATTAATGTCACATGCAAGAAAAATATTGCTGAAATCATCCAAAAGTGACTAGAACAGTATATTTACAGGAAGCTTCCAGAAGTTCAAGTGGTGTTTAGAAGAGGGTATAGCACCAGGGATATCATTCTTGACATCAGATGGACCCTGACTGAAAGCAGAGAAAACCAGAAGAATGTCTGTGTTTTATAGACTAAATAAAGGCTTTAGACTGTGTGGGTCATACAAACTATAGCTAAAATTGAAAAGACTGGAAATCTCAGAACACTTAATTGTTCTCATGAGAAATGTGTACCTAGATTAAGAAGCTGTTGGGTTTTTTTATGGAAAAAAATACAATACAAAAAACCTGTTATCAAACTACATGTCTAAAAATGCTCTAGAAATAACAATAAATGAGATTTCTGGATTTAAGAGCTATCTATACAATATACCATTGCTGTTAGCTGCAGTAAAGTCAGCCTCCAACTCTAGTGTCACCCAATACAAAGGGGGGGAAAGTTATAAAAATACTATTACAGGTATATATATGTGGGGTTTTTTTTTGTTTTTTTTTTTAAGAAAGTGTTGCTTGAACAGAGCAATGGAACAATGCATGGCTTAAAATCAGGAAGAGTGCATCTGAGAGGTATCCTTTCTCCATATCTATTAAATATATATGCTGAGCAATTAATTCATGAAGCTAGACTCTGTGAAGAGGAATGTGTCATTAGAATTGGAGGAAGACTCAACAATCACCTGCTTTATGCAGATGACATACCCTGCTTGCTGAAAGTGAGAAGAATATGAAACACTTGCTGCAGAAGATCAAGGAATATAGCCCTAAGTATGGATTACCCCTCAACATAAAGAAAAAAGAGGCCCTCACCACAGAACCAACAACCAACATCATAATTGATGAAGAAAGGAGTGAAGCTGCCAATGATTTCATCTTACTTGGATCAACATCCCTGGTACCAGCAATCAGGAAATCAGAAGATGTATTGGGCAAGTGCAGTGATGACGGTTTGCAGACTAAATTGAGCCTGATTCAGGACATAATCTTCTCAATCATGTGCTACACATCTAAGAGCTGACAAGAAATAAGGATGACAGAAGAAAAATTGATCCCTTTGAGTTGTGGTACTGGACAATAGTACTGAATATCCCATGAACTGTCAAAAGAAAAAAAACAGATATATCT